ATTTGAGTTGCTTAGTGAAAAGACGCATGGAAGATGGACAACGAAAAAGATCATATGCGTCATATTATGTTATACGAATTCCGCAAAGGAAAAACAGTAGGCGCTGCAACTAAAGATATTCGCGAAGTTTATTTGGACCGTGCTCCAGCACTCCGCACAGTAAAGAAATGGTTCGCGAAATTTCGTTCTGGAGATTTTAACCTCGAAGATCAACCTCGCAGTGGACGGCCTTCTGAGCTTGATGACGATGTTCTAAGGACTTTAGTTGCGAATAACTCACGTATTTCGACGGAAGAGGTTGCCAGTGAATTGAACGTCAACAAATCAACTGCGTTTCGTCGTTTAAAAAAGGTTGGGTACACTTTGAAGCTCGATACATGGGTGCCACATCAGTTGAGTGAAAAAAACAAAGTGGACCGTATGTCAACAGCAATTTCTTTGCTTCGACGGATCAAAAACGAACCTTTTTTGGATCGGCTCGTGACTGGTGATGAAAAATGGATCCTGTACAACAATGTTCAACACAAAAGTACACGGAAACAGGCACACGAAGTGGCGGGACTGATGTCGAAAGGTGGACTGCATCCGATGAAGGTACTGCTGTACATTTGATGGGATATACGAGGCGTGATCTATTTTGAGCTCTTGCCAGCTGGAGAAACGATCACTGCCAACAAGTATTGTCAGCAATTGGTCGAATTGAAGAAAGCAATTGATGAAAAACGTCCGATTTTGACAAAGAAGTTCGTTTCCATCATGACAACGCCAGGCCACATTTTTCAAAACCGACCTGGCCAAGCTGAAGGAGACGAATTGGGAAACCATGCCGCATCCCCCATATTCACCCGACATTGCACCTTCTGATTATCATTTGTTTCGATAGCTGCAGAACAATTTGAATGGAAAAAAATTTAAAAATGTGGAAGACGTCAAAAAACACCTTGACACCTTTTCCAACGAGAAACCGCGCGATTTCTATGAATCAGGCATCCGTAAATTGGTTGAACGTTGGGAGTGGATTGCCGAACATGAGGGTGAATATTTAATTGATTAATAAAATCGCTTTCTTCAAAAAATTTCAATTTTAGTTTGCACTTGAAATCGGGCACGAATTTATGCACTCATCCAATATATAAAAAAAAATTAATTGAAACATCTAAAACATGTAATCCGTCTTGCAGGCGAATATATTGGAAAGAAATAATAATTTGTTTTTTTTTTGTCCTCCCGGTATTCCCTATTCCGTAAACATAAATATACACATAATACAATATACATAATTTTTTGCTTTATTTCCAAACTATTGAAGCCTGAAAGAAAATAAATTTAAAAATGTTTAAATTTTTTTTATTTAATTTAATTTTATTTATTTTAAATTTATTAAAGGAACTTTTTTCAGGCCAACAACACGGTGAGAATTCTTGCGAAACTTCCACGAACCGGCACTGGTCTGGACAAAATGGTATAAATTCATGCAACAAATTACTAAAAGCAAGCGAAATTTCCTTGAAATACTTTAAAATTCATATTTTTATACGTACAGGTGGATAAGTTTTTGTTGAAAAATATGCGGAAGAAACCCATTTTGACAGCTTATGGATTTTTTCAACTGGACCGAAGTGCTTTATTTAAGGTTTGCTCTTTAATTACAAAATAAAAAACTAAACTTCTTTAATGCAAAATTTTCTTTTCATTTTTTTTTTAGCTCTTTACAGCTATTATTATGTACATTATGATTTTGGTACAATTTTCAGATATTGAAAACTCATTGAAGAAAATTAATTGAGAACTGCTTAGACCAATAAATGTTGTTTATAAATTACCGAAGTCATCTTATTCTTAATATGCGTAGGTTTTAGTGAAGCCAGCTGCTTCTTCATTTGATCCTTACAGCGAAGTTTAGTTTATACTCTTCCTCTGCTACAGCTGCTACTGGCGGGTACTGCTGTAATAGTTTTTATCCATACGCACAATTAAGAGGCGGCTTTTAAAAATTATCAAGACTTAAATCGCAAATCGGAGGTAGAGCCTGGCTGAAAATCTCTTCAGAGGATATATAATAGCTAATTTTACTATTTGCTTCAACAAATTACCCATGGGGTATTAGGTTATACTTCACTAAAAGTACCCCCGTTTGCTAGCTTTAAGAAATACATATGTACATATTATATTGTTCTTCCCTAAATATATTAAATGGTTAATACTTAAAAACCATCAGACTCATTTTTAATCACTGAAAAAATATACCGACTAGTGTTTTGATGTTCCCCGGAGATTGACTAGACCTTTACAGCTGATCTGTAAACATTTCAGTGGGAATTTGATGGCAACTGGGACCAAAGAAACAAAACTGAGGGGCCGAGAAGAACCGTTGGACATATTCGGCGTACCGAAGAGTTTTAAACGCCATTCACCGAGAGTTCATCAATGGCATCTGAACGACATTCCCGATTACTGACGCAGAGCTCGAGTTGTCTCGAGAAAACCTAGTAATACGTGTACACCCGAGTAATTGGTAATAAGCAAATTTGACACTGACATACCCAACGCATGCCACAAACCACCTCTTTTCATGCACCGAAACAGCTCGATTATTGGATGACTTCAACTAGTTTCGCCTGCTCCTAAGTGGGGTTGGTGAACTCCTACAACAATAACTGACTGCCCTTAAAAGTAAACTATAATAATTATATTGTTCACTATCGTCGCGCCCTCGATGGATTTCCTGAGTTCTTTTTGGTGCAATATTTGCACTAATAATGTACAATATATTGCAAGTAAGGTAAGTATTGGGTTGCCCCAAAAGAAAGCGGCGTTATTTAAAAGAAAGTGGAAACATTTTTTTGCATTTATAATGAACTTTATGTAATTTCCATTTTGTTGGATTACCTTTGACCACAATCGCTGGCAATATCATTATATTTGAGTGAAAAATCTCCCGAACGGAATTTGACAAAGCAATTTCATACAACTTTTTAGCAACTTGCGCTGCATTTTTTTTCTTTGTGGAAATAATAAAGTAAATTATAGCTAAAATGTTCTTTTGTGGGCTCCATATAAAAAGAAATATAAACAAAATTATGCGTACTTTTTTTCTAAAGCAAGCTAAAAGTGGCACCTTATAACTGTCAAAAGAAAAAATATAAAAATACAATTAAATAGTATCGAGCTGGTAAAAAAAATTGTCAACGCCGTCTGTATAAAAAATCTCCGGTTTATTTTGGGGAAACCCAATAGTTTCGTTTTATTGGGTTGCCCAAAAAGTAATTGCGGATTTTTTAAAAGAAAGTAAAAGCATTTTTAATAAAACTTAGAATGAATTTTAATCAAATATATAATTGCCATTTTGTTCGATAACCTCTTGCCATCTTCCTGGCAAATTTAGTATTCCACGCTCATAGAACTTCTGGCCTTTATCTGCAAAAAACTGAACCAAGTGCGATTTTATAGCCTCATCATTGCCGAAAGTTTTAACAAGGAGTTCTGCAAAGATCGAAATAAATGGTAGTCTGATGGTGCAAGGTCAGGGTTATATGGTGGATGCATCAAAAGTTCCCAGCCAAGCTCACTCAGTTTTTGGCGAGTGATCAAAGATGTGTGCGGTCTAGCGTTGTCCTGGTGGAATATGACACCTTTACGATTGACCAATTCTGGTCGCTTCTCCTTGATGGCCGTATTCAATTTGTCCAATTGTTGACAGTAAACATCCGAATTAATCGTTTGGTTCCTTGGAAGCAGCTCAAAATATACGACACCCTTCCAATCCCACCAAACAGACAGCATACTTCTTTTGGTGGATATCAGCCTTTGAAGTGGTTTGAGCTGGTTCACCATGCTTGGACCATGATCGTTTTCGACTAACGTTATTGTAAACAATCCATTTTTCATCTCCAGTTATGATTCGTTATAAAAACGGATCGAACTCATTGCGTTTAAGGTGCATATCACAAGCGTTGATTCGGTGTGTTAAATGAATTTCTTTCAATACATGTGGTACCCAAATATCAAGCTTTTTCACCAGTCCAAGACTTTTTATGTGATAATGAACGGTTGATTTTGGTATATTTAACTTCTCTCCTATCTCACGCTCAGTTACATGACGATCCAATTCGATTAATGCTTTGATTTGGTCATCATCAACTTCATTTGGCCGACCTGAACGTGGCTCATCTTTAAGTGAAAAATCTCCAGAACGGAATTTGCGAAACCAATTTTGACACTGTCTTCCTTTTAAGGCTTCATCATCATACACATCTCGTAACTTTTTAGCAACCTGCTCCGCGTTTTTTCCTTTACGGAAATAATAAATTAAATATGACGAAAATGCTCCTTTGTGGGCTCCATATTAAAATTGACGCCAAACAAAAAAATGTAAACAAAATTTCGCTCACTCTTTTTCTAAAGCAAGCTAAAAGTAACAGCTGATAACTGACAGAAGAAAGAATGCATGAAAAAATTTGTCAACGCCGGCTGTATAAAAAATTCGCCGGTTTCCTTTGGGGAAACTCAATAGTTTCGTTTTACTTATGCCTGTTGCTCCTTAGCAAGTCCCAGATGGAGTTTCAATTTAATTCGAGCTAAGATAGTTGTTGCGTAGTACGTCAACACTTTTGCGACATTTAAGAGAACTTGATATCCAATTTTTTTTTTTTTGAAAGGTAACGTAGACGATAAAGGAGTTATGAAAACTTTATATTTATCATAGCGATCGCATTGCCGAATTTTCGTATAATTAAATTTAATTTAATTGTATATATGTATGTACATAAAATATTTATTTTGCATACAACAGATAGAAAATAACTTTCACGCATGCATTTATCACATATATTACACAAAACGTTTTTAAGATGTTAATAACTGCTACCTTTTACTATAATAATTATAACGCTTTCACAGCAAGCAATATATTTTTGACAGATGAATCAAACAAGAAACTTCGTTTATAACACTGATCACATACCAGATGTGATTGATAAAACATTTTTCACCTTACTTACCGTATCATACGTAAGGCAACCAGATGTTTTAGATTTGGAGTTCTTTCGCCATTTCCTGTATTCAGCTTTGATAACGGTTGTTTGACGTTTCCAATATTTCCCCTCTAGTACAACAGCCTAAAAAAAGAGAAATAGTTGAGTTTAACTGGGCTCATGGATGAATAAGTAAAAAAGAAATGATATTGTCTCTAAGTGTTTAATTGCAAAAAAAAAAAAAAAAAAAAAAAAGTATAGTGAATTTTAATGAGAAGTTTGTATGTATGTACTATATCAAACATGCGACCTTCGCGTAATCATGATGCGTAGAGCACATTGTTTCTTATCACACTTTCATTGGCGCTCGTTTTGTTGTCGACATTGGCGATTTAATTTCGCACAAATCCGAAAAAATGTGCTTAATTTTTTAGCTTAGAAATTTAAAAATTTGCCAAATGATTGATATGAATTGGTAATAGACATTAAATCTTCTGCTGTCGGAGCGATCGATGGCTTCAACAAAATATATTATATATATGTATGTATGTATGTATGTATATATATATATAATATAGTATGTAAATAAAATCAATTATTTTTATTTGATATGATTTGTACTTGCCTGTGGGTTGCTATGGATGTCAACGTCCAGCGGTGATGCAAACTGGCATACTGGTGTCCTACGCTTGAGTATAACTGCAAAGAGATAACAATATTTAAAGTTAGATCATAAAAGTCTAAGCCGACAATAATTACCCAACGCGCTATGATTGCAATAATGTGTATGATTAGAAAACAAAGCCCGTACATCTCATGTGTGATTATAAACATGAGAGTTCGTCTTTTAAATATTTAAACAAATGTTTCGTATTCCAAAGTTCCATTTCAAATTTTGTGTACATACATACATATGTACATGTATTTAACAAAGCAGGGATAAATCTTTTAATTCTTTAAGACCTATTATAAGTCTTATGGAAACAAGATAACCAGAGTAATGTACAGTCACGTGCAGATTTAATAAGATTTTTTTAAAACTTAAGCTTTAAGGGGTATGGCCACAGTAAAATTTTTTAAAAATCTTTTTTTTTTTTGCTTAACTGATGTTTTATAGTCATAAAAATGATATGCCATTTAACTCAGAATGAAATAGTCATTTTTGATTGATTGAAGGTGTATATCGAAAGCCCACCTCCGGCTCGGCTAACTTATATGTGAAACTTTAAACGCGTTTTTCTCGAAACACTTTTTTTTTGAATTGGCGTGACAAATAACTTGTACAATTTTGATCCGATTGACTTCAAATTTTGACATCATGTTTATTATTGTATTCCGCAAGGAGGTACGTAGGGGATTTTCAAGTAATAATAATAATTAATCAAGTACTTGTTTATTACAGAATTATTGACTAAAAATGCACGTTTTCTGTTTTCCCTATAATTTCCATAAAAATCAATATTTTTGTAATCTCCCACGTACTTCTATAGCTATTGTCATGCAGATTAACGACATTTTTTTGTTTTGTTCCAGGACAAGAATTGTAGATGCAAAATGTCACACCGTGGAGCGCTTTAGAAAAATGGATGAAAAAGAGATCAGAAATATTGGCCATTTTGTGCCGGAAAAAAAAATCTAAAACAAAATAGTTTCTCATAAGCTTTATATCCAAACTTCATCGGTATGTGATTATTTTCATGAATAAATATTAGTTCCATACAAAAAAAATATTACATTTGCACATGGTTTTTTACCCGCTACTGTGGCCATACCCCTTAAGATTGCTTTAAAATCAATGTTAACATAATTTATGGTTCTTTTTAATTACACTGATAGATAATCGTATTTCGGCTATCTACCTTTGTTATGAGAATGCGCTTAATTTGTTACCTAAATTCTCATGTTATAAGCTCAAGCTCAGATTTTGGTATCAAAACAGCAATTCGAACAGCCATAAAAAAGTTTTAATTTTTTTTTTTTAAATTATTAATTTAAATTTTGCTTTGTAACCGCTGAACATGCGGAGAAAGTCTTTTTTGTGCTATTTTTTTGGCCTGGACTGAGTCTAGAGCACTTCTGCTTCATGAAGCTAGTTAAAAGGAAAATTGAGATTATGAACAAGTACTGGAAAAAAAACCAGTAAATACTTATGTTTTTAAAATCTGCTGTGATTTAATATAATATTTATAATTCTACTCCCTGTTGACTAGAGTTGATAATTTATATTTCATTTCACTATTTATTGAATGAGTGCATAAGTTCGTGCCCGATTCCGCTGGATGCCGTTCGAATCGTTTGAGAATGGCGCTCGTGAAAGAAATATATACATATTATATATCGTTGGAAAGGTGACAGTCCGAACTGTAAATCAAGCATAAAATAACTTGATTTTGATTTGAGTTGCTTAGTGAAAAGACGCATGGAAGATGGACAACGAAAAAGATCATATTCGTCATATTATGTTATACGAATTCCGCAAAGAAAAAACAGTAGGCGAAGTTTATTTGGACCGTGCTCCAGCACTCCGCACAGTAAAGAAATGGTTCGCGAAATTTCGTTCTGGAGATTTTAACTTCGAAGATTAACCTCGCAGTGGACGGTCATCTGAGCTTGATGACGATGTTCTAAGGACTTTAGTTGCGAATAACTCACGTATTTCGACAGAAAAGGTTGTCGGAGAATTGAACGTCAACAAATCAACTGCGTTGCGTCGTTTAGAAAAGGTTGGGTACTTTTTGAAGCTCGATACATGGGTGCCACATCAGTTGAGTGAAAAAAACAAAGTGGACCGTATGTCAACAGCAATTTCTTCGCTTCGACGGATCAAAAACGAACCTTTTTTGGAAACATGGAAACAGGCACACGAAGTGGCGGGACTGATGTCGAAAGGTGGATTGCATCCGATGAAGGTACTGCTGTGCATTTGGTGGGATATCCGAGGCGTGATCTATTTTGAGCTCTTGCCAGCTGGAGAAACGATCACTGCCAACAAGTATTGTCAGCAATTTGTCGAATTGAAGAAAGCAATTGATGAAAAACGTCCGATTTTGGCCAATCGCAAAGGAGTTCTTTTCCATCATGACAATGCCAGCCCACATGTTGCAAAACCGACCCTGGCCTAACTGAAGGAGATGAATTGGGAAATCATGCCGCATCCCCCATATTCACCCGACATTGCATCTTCTGATTATCATTTGTTTCGATCGCTGCAGGACAATTTGAATGGAAAAAAATTAAAAATTGTGGAAGACGTCAAAAACCACCTTGACACCTTTTTCAACGAGAAACCGCGCGATTTCTATGAATCAGGCATCCGTAAATTGGTTCAACGTTGGGAGTGGATTGCCGAACATGATGGCGAATACATAATTGATTAATAAAAGCGCTTTCTTCAAAAAATTTCAATTTTAGTTTGCACTTGAAATCGGGCACGAACTTATGCACTCATCAATATATTTCATTTCTTATATAATATTATAAAAAAGTAATTAATTATTTTTTTTGCCATAGATGGTTTTAGTGATCTGTATCTCACGTTCTATAAGTGCAATTGGATTGCTAAAAAAAAATAACGGGAGAAGGGGCAACATTAACTCATTAGCTGGTGTCTATATTTTATAAATTCTATAAATTTTCTTCGATAAAGACGAAAACGTGCTCCATGATGTGAACGGTAAATTGTCGAAAAAGTCGATAAAATAATGGAAATCGTCTGGAGTTAAACTTGGCATAAAAAAGTTTGGAAACACTTAAACAAAAACAGAACCAAATTTCATTTCGTAAATCGTTGCTACATCTAATTCAAATCTACATATTTCTGAAGCGGCTGACGACTGGTGATGAAAAGGGAATAACTTGCAAAAAACGTTTAACGAAAAATGTCGTGGTCCAAGAGTAATGAACCAGCACAAACGGTTACCAAGCCAGGAAGGTTTTTTTTTTGTGTGCTTTAAGGAATCATCCACTGTGAGATTTTCCCCAAATAGCAGCCCTTGAAAATTGAGTGTCCTAATTGTTTGGCAATAGGGACAAAGGCTTCTATGAGCAAAGCGGTGTATAATTGACATAGAAATATATCCTAGACTTAATATATAATATGAAATTGGCGCTTTGTTACCACTGAAGCAATTATCAGCCGATTTGCTACTTCTTATTTCATTTAACTTTCAAAAATATTTAGATATTGGTCGGGCCAGGACTTGAGCCTGGGCATTACAATTCATTCTGTACGTAAGTATAACTGCAACTGCTAATTTTTTATTAACATTTCTAGAAAAATGTGGCACAACATATTAAGGTAAAAACTGTTCAAACTTTTAAACGTTTTCTTAAAACAGAAACGGTAAAGAAATAATTAGATATATCAGGCGTACAACTTTGCTTCCGCCGTTCTTTTTTTTCCAAAATTCAAAGCTTTATTGCGAAAACGTGCTTACAGATATATTATTCAAAGTATTGTCCTTCGCTAGCGACAACTTTCTCCCATCTTTCCGGCAATTTTCGGATTCCGGCTCGAAAAGGAGTCCTCTTTTGACGCTATCCATGAAGCAATCCATTTTTCCAATTCTTCGAAGGATTGAAAATGTTGATCTGCCAGGCCGTGTGCCATCGAACGGAATAGGTGGAAGTCAGAAGGGGCGACATCTGGGGAATACGGCGGGTGGGGCAAGACTTCCCATTTCAGCGTTTCCAGGTACTTTTTGACCACTTTTGCGACGTGAGGCCGAGCATTGTCGTGTTGGAGGATGACTTTGTCATGTCGCTCTTGATATTGTGGCCGCTTTTCTTTTAGCGCGCGACTAAGGCGCATCAGTTGCGTTCGGTAGCGATCTCCTGTGATGGTTTCACCCGGTTTTAAGAGCTCGTAGTAAATCACACCGAGCTGATCCCACCAAATACAAATCATAACCTTGGCGCCGTGAATATTCGTTGAAACCACTCCCGACACGTTCTTTCACTCAGAGCAGCATCACCGTAAGTTTCTGAGAGCATTCGATGCGCTTCAGCTGCATTTTTTTTTCGAATTGTAACAGAAAAGTAAAACTTCCCGCAAATGGCGAGAATTAGGCACATAAACGGACATTTTCGAGCGTGAATAATACGAAAACAAGAACAACTGTCACTGAAACGGCGATGACAATTCGTTAGGCACTGTCCACACTCACTTTAAAGGCATTATCATCTATGTATTTCAATCAGCCTCAGCCGGTACAGCCACTTAGCGGAAAACGGCGGAAGCAAAGTTGTACACCTGATATGAGAGATGATCCATCAGTCATGACCATACCAGATGTGTAATGCATTACAGGGGTAGAATACTAAACTTCATATCCTTAGGTAGATTTTTTGACGGATTTATGATCAAAAATTTTAAGCCTGAAAATTTGTATACTCGTATATGAGGTTTCGATAAATGATCGGTTAAGTATATCAGTGCATCTGTGTACCAAGTTTTGTTGAACTATCTCAAAAGCTGAGGGAGTACTTTACGTGCAAAAATATGGAGAAGATTACATTAACTAAGTTCATTATTCTGATCATATCGGTAGAATGTCCTGCTGGTACTTGCATACTTCGCACCAGAGTTAACGAAGCTATAGGTCAAGTCGTCGGCTTTTTCGGCCAGACATACGCTACACTGATTTGTTATCAATTTGTTGTTTGATGAAAATCAAAACTTTTTGGAATAACATTTAGTC